CCAGCGGTTCAAATCCCCCACGCTGAGGGAGGAAAGACCCATCAGCTCCTGTAGAGATGACAGCCTAGGAAACCCTGAGACAGCTCTGCTCTGTCACATAGAGTCGCTGTGAGTCAGGATCTCCTCAGTGGCACTTAAGCCCTTCACAGGCACGCTGCCCTTATAGCCACACAACGCAACCTCACTTCTGTGGAGTCAATTCTGAGTGTCTGAGACCCTAACTCTTTTGGTAACCATGTAAGACAGGGTAGGGCTGCCCTGTGGGTTTCCGAGACTGTAACTTTTTATGGGAGTAAAAAGTTCCTCTTTGTCCTGAGAGCCAGCTGGTGGTTTTGAACTGCTGACCTTGTAGTAACCACTTGGCCACCAAAACTCCTACAGGGATCACTTGCGGCAGGTTTATTGTAGTGTTTCCCAAAGTGGGTGATTTTACCCTGGGGACAGGGCTGTAAAAGCCATACCTACACTTTATCCTGGTGGATTATGGGCTGCCATACAAACGTTTTTAATTGGCAGGGCGGGGCACTGAGTAATTTTTTTTTTTCTCTCTGAAAAGGGACGCAGGCCAAATAAGATTGGGAACCAAACTACGGCCAAATGTTCAGTTAAAAGCAAACTCAGAGAACAAAAAGCTCACTGTCATGGGGTCATTTCAGACTCTTAGTGACCCTATAGGACAGGGTGGAACTGCCCTTGTGAGTGTCTGAGGCCGTAACTCTTTACATGAGAAGCCCCATCTTTCGCCCATGGAGAAGCTGGTAATCTTGAACTGCTGACTTTACCGTGAGCAGCCCAATGCCAGCAACCCACGAGGCCACCAGGACTCCTCGCCTCAGAGTTCACAATTAACCTGCAAAGTGAACAGATCATCCACCCATCTTCCTTCACAGCCAGGCCCCTGAGACTGAGCCCACTTGGCACTCGCCTAGAAGCCACAGCGAGTTCATGGCCAAACCTCAACCCCTACAGAAGTGGGACCCCAAGTTGGGTCACCTGAATCGGAATCACCAGGAGCGGAGGTCAACATGCAAAGTCCCAGCAGTTCCCTGGCTCTGGGTTTCACCGAGAACCAGGCCGGCAAGCTGCCAAGAAATCGGCCCTTTAACCAACCTCCCCAGAGGATGCCCACACCTAGAAGTGTTCGAGCCGTTGCCCTACCCTCTGCCAAAGCCGGAGAAATTTCAGGCCCACGTCGAAGTTCCGGATAAACTTCAGTCCTACCTCGTGGTTCCGGGGGCAGCTTCTGAATTTCTACAGGAAAGGGGCTTGGGTGGGGCCTACAAACGGGCTGCATGTGCCTTGACACGTGCAAACATGCATCATCCTCTCGGTGCTCGGATTAGGGGACGGCTGGAGATGATGGGGGATTCAAAGCCACCCGGAACACCCGCCACTCCCCAACAGATGAACGCGGGGGTCCCTCTCCAAGTTTGCAAACTGCAGGAAAGGAGGGGGCTTTTGCGGGATGGGAAGGCCCAGGCGCCCGCCTCGAGCGCGAGCCGGAAGGACCTCCGTCCTGTGCCGCAGGCCAAGTGGGCACAGGCCCTGCAAAGGCGGCCCCTCAGGGGGTTCCTCTGGGGCGAGAGGTGGGCAGAGCCCCAGCCCGGGGCC